TACACTTGTGTGTACACATCCCAGGGAATTTTTGTCCTTTTGTAGCAACACAGCACTGATGATTCACTGCAATCACAGATGCTTTTCCGAGGACTTGTCACAGAGTCAAGTCTTGTCCTCCTAGCAAGCATGAAGATGACTATTTTTGTTAAAAGAGCCATTTTGGGAGGCCTTATTAAATTGGTTGTTTTTTGGTCAGATTGCTTTTACTGGATAAGTTTGACCTGAATTCTAGCCATGCCCTCTACAGTGCTTGAAGCTCCTTCTCATGGAGCTGTTGCATTCAGTTTTCAGCTTGGCTTGACCTGGGACAGAGCTGGTGCCCATGCTTGAGGACATAGGGGATGGGATTTAGGACTTGTTGTTCCTGCTTCTGAGCTGTACAGTCAGCCTCGAGACATCAGCTCAGCACTACCAACTGTGGCTGGACTAGATGATCTTAGAGATCTCTTCCAGACTTAACGATTCTATGACTCCAAGCCCTGCTGTCCCCTCTAGACAAAGCATTGGCTGTCTTCTTCTGTCCCCTTTACTGGTGGCACCTGGAGACCACGCGGGGATGGGGTGGCATGGGCTCATCCCTGTGCTGCCGCTGCTGTTTCCTCTGTGCCAAAAGCTGTCTCTGACCTTCGAGGCTGATATACATCAGGAATTCTCAAGTTCTTAAAAGACACTTTCTTTGTTCCAATATGACTGCACATTTCTTCTGCGGAAAGAAATCTGAGATAACTTGAGCATAAAGGATGATATATAAAGCCAAGTTTTATTCTATTCAGTCTCAGTAATTTTCCTCATAAATACTTCTTGGTATTATGAAATATTGCTTGCAGCAGAAATTGGGTATGTTGGGGCTGTACTATTTTATCTTGCTAAACACTGAGGCAGTCTGTGTTCAGAGCCTGCTGCATTTATCCTATTAATGTATTAGCAGGACTCCTCTGCTTTGTGTTGTTTAATGGAAGGTTTTTATTTGATATGATCAAATCCATCTGTGTCTAAATGGAACTCCCTTAAAGATATACTGTACAGCAGTGCATCAGGGTGTAAAAACGCTTTTGTTTTTGAAGCTACACCAAAAGCATGCCAGTAATACCTGCAGGATTTGCGTGAGCCTGCTTTGTCTGGGCCCTGCAGTTCTGATGATGTGATACCCAAAGACATTTGCTTGAAGAAAGAGCCGGGCAGCCAGCAGTAGGGGGGGATCTGTTATTTGCACTGATTCCCAACAACGCAGCTCAGGCTCACCAGCAGCAGCCCCTCCCAGCCACCACCGCCCCATTTTTCCTGAGTTATCAGAGTCCACAGTGAACATGTAGAGGTTGAATAACCAAAGGGACTTGTGCCTGACCCACTGGGAGGCCCACGCTGACAGCCAGAGCACATCCCCAGCACTGCAGGGATACGCACCGTGCCCTCAGCTGTCACATTGCTGGGGTCTGCCTGCCATCCCAGCAGGACACTGATACAGCCCTGCTTACAGCCTTGGCAGGGCACAGACATGCAATGGAAAAATAGTATTGCCGTCATGCAAAAGCTTTGACATAACCCCAAAACCTGCTAGGAAATTTTTTTTGGCTGATTTTGGGAATGCTTTTGTTCCAGAGGGTTATTTTGTGAGCAGGAATCAGGACAATCAGAAGCTTTCTGCAGGCACTTTGCAGCCTCCCTCAGCAACAGCTCTGCATTCTGGGCCTTTAATAGCATGCAGATGCTGAGTGCTCACCTACCAATGCTGGTCCTGACAACTGCAAAGCATGTCAGGCACGCTCCATTGCATTAACACAGAGACAAAAGCCATCTGACTTACAGTCTACATTGCTGCGTATATTATTGAGCTGTGTTTAGATCAGTACATTGCTGCTGACAACATTTAGCATGAATTACCTGGAGGTGTGTGGGTGGGAGGATGGGGAATGGCTCTGCACACTCTGGGGGAACCTGGATGGTGAAGCAGTTCTGGTGCAGGATGCTGAGCTAAGTGCCCTGTGGCTTTAACCCTACAGACAAAATATCTGGACACAGTCTGAACCAGTACCTCCTGCCAGTTCAAAATCAGATACAGAGCGTGGCACAAATGGGTCTTTGTGGCTGAGCAAGGAATAATTTGTTTTTATTTTCAGTGCATACGCTGAGATACGTGCAAACACACACAGGGCAGTGTTTCTCTTCAGCGTCGCTGATGGCATATTTATCTCAATATTTATTTATATTCACCATGCTAAGCTTTAATATTTTAATGCAACAAGTAATTGCTTTCTACTTCCACAGAGCAATTATCTTAGATTCTCTGTATTCCTATTTACAACCTCAAAAGGTTCGGATTTATCAGTTTGACTGAACAAGTGAGTTTTGCATCGTGGTTGGTCCCCTGCCTTGACAGTGACTGCACAGGACTGTGCAGTGGTGCCCTGCTGGCCCTGTGGCTGCATGTGGGCCAGGGCCAGGCTGTCCTGTCCCAGGGCTGGGCTCCTCAGGGCCACAGGGTCTCTCCAGCCTCGATCCATTGCGTTCTTGTGCAGCCTTTGTAGTTGCTTCCTCCACAGCCATCCATCCTCTGCTGCCTTCAGGTATCAGTGTGCTTTGAGATGTTATCGTGGGACTCTGGTGAGCCCTCGAGGGCCGCTATCTCTCCAGCTTCTCTTGTAACAGACAGTTCTGACAGCCCAGTCTTCATCTTCTTACCGCTTTGACCTTGAGTTAGTTTATCCCTCCCTTCTCTGCATGTTTTAAATCTTGCATACAAACTATTAAGGCTTTCCTACAATAAATCATTAACCTGAATATAGTTAACTGAAATGCTTATTAACGTCTCTCTGCATAATCCATTTAACAGAATTACTCTTGCTTATTCAGACAACCTAAAGAGGTCCGTGCTTTTGTCTACCAGCTTCAGCATTAGAGCTTGTAATTATTTCTGGTTAATGCAGCCCTGGGTGCTAGCAAATGTTGGTTTATGCATTTCAGCATAGTACTTTTCCTAATCTCTTGTATTAATTAGAGATAGTGATATAGCATTACTTTGCTCCTTTATGTTCACTACCAGGAGAGATGTCTGAATATAATCCTATCCGCGCCGAGAGTGCGCCCAAACACTTTCACAACTGCTAAGTGTGACAAACCCTTAGGATTACGCGGAGTAATCGCTGAGTTAGGGAAAGTGGTGCACGTGGGCAGACGTGGTGTGGGGCTGGGGAGCTGGCACAGGGCTCCCTGGGGGCATCACCAGTGGGTTGGAGTCCTTCCCCATACTCGTGTCTGGGCCTCCTCCTCCTCCAGGTTCCTTTCACATCATGCCCCATTCCTGCAGACTTCTGAGGTCAGGGATGGGGCTCTGAGCACCTGGTGGAGCTGTGGGTGTCCCTGTTCATTGCAGGAAGTGGGACCATGTGGCCTTTAATGGTCCCCTTCTGGCTCAAACCATTCTGTGATCCTATGACTGGTCAGCCAGCTTTGGGAGCCACAGCTCTTCCTGTTACTGACACAAGTAGACGTGTCTTTCCCCATTAATTCACCTCGCACCTTTGTGCTAAAACAATGCAGTTTGATTTAATAAGCTTTACAAACATAGTGATGGTTCGTATGCAGCAAATCAGATTTACATAATTTTCCACCGGCTTTTAAAGCCACTGAAATTCAAATTATCTTTACTTGGGGAAACTCTTTTAATATGCTAAAACAAAATACCACCTACATTATGCTTGAGTTTGCTAGCTTGCCTTTTCCAGCGCATTAAATGTTGATTTGTCATGCCGGTTTATCACAGACAGTTCCTTTTTAATGAGAAGGGAGGGGAGTGCCCTGTAGTTAGTCATGGCTGGAAGTCATTGAAGGAACAAAAGGGGAAGATTTAACATCTAGAATGAATTTGGTCGTACTGTGTTGTTTCTTTGCTTGCTGCTGGGATGGGCACCACGTTGGCTCTCTCTTGCTGCAGCTCAGCACCCACAGGCAATTTCCCATCCTTGTCCCAGGCAGGCTATGGGTCATTTTTAACTCCATGCAATAAATAAGGCCCAGAATCCCTCCGTTCTGTTCTCAGCTTTTCCACCTCGGGATATTTCATGCTTTTGTGATTCTGTGAAGGAGGTGGAGAGCTGATGAGTCAACAGATTTTGCAGCTCAGATCTGAGTTTCACCTACACAACCAATGTCTGCTTGTTGCAGGTGGCGCTGGGTGTAAGGCTCACACAGCTTTTGTGTTTTGGAATAGAAGCAATGCAGTATCAAAAGCAAGCACAGTTACCAGCATTCAGCACTGTGGTGGCAGTGGGTTTTGGGGCCTCATGGACCCATTTCTCCCTCACCTCCACTGCACACCTCCAGTGCTCGCCTTGTGTCCAACCCCACCTCACTGATGTTGGCACTCCCAGCCGGGTGTTGGGTTCCCCATCGTCCCCCTGGGATTTTACAGGAGCAAAAGCAATGGTCCCTGCTTGAGCCTCCTCCTGTGGGCCAGCAGCCGGCTGCTCACCATCATCTCACAGCCCAACACGTTTCTTGACTCTGTGTGCAAGCATTCCCTGCAATATTTAATTAGGGATTTGAGAGAGGCTTCCTATTAAAGCAAGTAAATACGATCTCTTCAAACGGGTTGACAATAAATACGCATCTCTATGGCTAAGCAGAACGTTCAAGCTTTGGCTCCGAAAGTTAAGCAAAAAACGTGTTGTTGTCCAACAGAGCTAAATATATTCCCCTCTCGTTGGTATTAGTGGAGATTTTAATGCTCAGTAACTTAAAAACAGATACACTATTCAGATGTTCAAACATGAAGCGCTCATCTGATGTTAAACGGCCACATTTTGGAGTGTGGAATCACGGGCTGTGCTCTGTGTCACAGCCAGCACTGCTGCCGGGGGGCTTGGCGACCTCCGCCACGTCTCTCCTGCTCTCAGATTAACACCTTTGCTGCTCTGATGTTATCGTAGAGGAATGAATTGTAAGCATTTGGGACGTGAGGGTGGGAACGGCCCCCTAACCCCTCTCTCTTCTCTCCGCAGCTCCCAGTACGGCCCAGTATGGGATCACCGGGGACGCCGAGGTCCTGTTCTCCTGCTGGTACCTTGTGTTGACACTGTCCTCCCTCACCAGCATATTCTACCTGAAGAACATCATTCTGCACTGAGTGTAAAGAACCCTAAAAGGCTTTTAAGGATTCTCTGAAAGTGCTGATGACTGGATCTGATCTGGTAGAGTTTGTTAAAAGCAGCGTGGGATATAATCAGCAGTGCTTGCGTGGGGGATGATCGCCTTCTGTAGAATTGCTCATTATGTAAATACCTTAATTCTACTCCTTTTTTGATTAGCTGCATTACCTTGTGAAGCAGTACACATTGTCCTTTTTTAAGACGTGAAAGCTCTGAAGTTACTTTTAGAGGGTATTAATTGTGATTTCATGTTTGTAATCTACGAGTTTTCAAAAGCATTCAGTCATGGTCTGCTGAACTGCAGACCGTAGTTTACAAAAAAAAAAAAAGAGAATATTGCAGTAAAATGGGCTTCTTTAAGGCTGCAATACAACATTCAGTTCCCTTCTTAAATAACATTCTCTCCACATGTACACAGGAACTTTTTTTTTTTAATTAAAAAAAAAAAAATCAAATAATCTTGCCTTCAAAATATTTCTTCGGAATATTACACATATCTAGATTTTCTTCCAGCATGATATTCAGGTTTCAAGAATGAGCCTTGTATTATAACTGCATTGTGCAGTACTGCTTTTTGATTTCTTCCTTTTTCCTGCAAATTCAGCATGGGTGTGCCTTCATAAAACACTATTTTCCTCTTCCTTTCCAACAAATCTGGAATGTGCTTTGGGAAATGCTACAGCATCCTTTTGAGCATAACCGATCTCTAAGTGAGGACGAAGGTGCTATTGGTTAGGGAGAAGGCCTCCTCTCCCATCTCCAGTGGGTAATGGGACTGCTTCAGACGTATACTTTTAGGCAATCAGACAAGGATAGCACCGATCCCTTTTTATTTTCCCCCTACTAAGCGGTGGACGATCTGCATTAAGAACGAGTTTCCCCATTACGAAAGAGAATGCCAATTATTTTGAGACATCTTTTGAATGTAAGAAGGTTTCCCGTAGTCATTCTAAATCAGAATTCCTAAGTGGCTGTAAATGTGAGAAGCTGAATCATCCCTTTTGTATTACTGGCAAAAATATGATGTGAATTGGTATTTTTCTTGCACTTAATTTTGTACTGGTTTGGCTAATTTAGCAATGATAAAGGATGCTTTTAAGTATTAGATATCTGAAAATACATAAAGTATCAAGCAGAATTTTATATATATACATACATATATATAAAATACAGGTATATATTAAAACGAGGTTGCTCCAATAACCGTACTGCATGCTGCCGTCAATGATGCATCTACAGACAGGACTTCATTCCTGATGTACACACACTGTACAAATAGCTTACCACAGCACTATAGCCATCATACACCATCTCCTAGGACTGCAGTCTATCAAGATAAGACTCGCATTAAACTCAATGAAGGATCAAGTTTCAAAAGAGCATCTAGCATCACTATTTTTTCTAAGCAGCCCCGTATTACATCAGTGCAAAACGTTGCTGCAGTTTACAGCTGAGTTCAGAAATGCCATCCTTGTAAGTTGCTGGGACGTGACTGTGTCCAACGGCCTTAGAACACAATGTCTCCTATTGACCCCCAGTAGATGCTGATGTGCTTAAAAAAACAGCAGCTGACGACATGAATAATAAAGCCATTATATAAGTACTGCATTCCCTCTCCTAATGATAAGGTTTGTGGTTAGCAATACCAGATGAGTGCTGTGCATATGCAGCAGTTCCAAACGCCCCCGTTTCTGAAAAGGCAAATTCTGAGTTTGGTTGGACTCACTGTGTACTGTCCCATGCTAAAGCACAGGCACAACGTGCAGTGAAGCTGTCGCAGTTACTGATGAGCCCAGATGCACAAAGAGAAACGTGTTGTCTCCAAAATACGGCAATAAAGCGTCCTAGGTCTGCTTGTGTTCAGTGACAGGTTGTGCCATTTCTATCACGTCGTTTGCAGCTGTGTGCTGAGCAGTGGCCGTTTTCAGAAGCCTGGCATTTTTGTAAAACCTCGAATAACATGACCAAATTCGTTGCTGAAGGAAACGGTTTAGAGCCAACTCAAATTCTACTACACGCAGCCCTTACATTCTTCTCTCCCTTGTATTGCAGCTTTAAAGTGCCATATTTTAGAATCCGTTCATTGGAAACAGTGGTGCTGCAGAAAACATCACGTCAGGGCAGACTTGTGAAGAAAGCACAGGGGTGTGTGTAACCCAGCTCCCCTGCTGCTCCTCGTGTGAATGTGAGACGGGCTGTGCTGGGGCTGGGTCCGATTGGGCATTTCCATTATGATTTCATTGTGGTGATTCCTGACATCTGAAACAACCCCAGCAACAGAATGGAATGAACGGCAGCTTAATTAAACTTGAAGAAAAGGAAGTATTGGCTGAAGGCAGACGTAGAACCGCTGGGTTACGTGGACAAGGCTTTCAGTCCCATCAATTCTCCCTTAAATTTGTGGGTACGTTGTTGTTGTCAGTTCCAAAAAGGAAAAGAGCCCATGAACATTTCTGGGTCCGGTAGCAGTTTGTCAGGCAGAGGAGGTGTCTGAGCACTGAGCAGAGCCGTGTGCTTGGGCTGCGTGGCCTCACAGCCCCGTGTGCCCCAGTGCCAGCAGAGCTGCCCCTCGGTGTGCAGCCAACACGGGGCACGGGTGCTTGGCTTCGTGCTGCTGCCTTGAAAGATATGATACGTGGAGTTAAACAAGCTCAGGTTCTGGCAGATCAGAGCCCTAGGCGGCACCGATCCCATAAAGGACCTCAGCTCTGTGGTTAATCTGTTCTGTGTGGTGAAGGTAATTGTGCAGTTTGGGACTTGCTGGGACGTCCTTCCAGCACGGGCTGTGCAGGCTGCTGCAAGCTGATGGCTGCAGCATTGGGCAGAGCCCAGTCACCCTTCAGTTCGTGGGGTGTGTTTGCTTTAGGCAGCCGTCGGACGGTACGTTCTGTGTTCTTGGAATGGTTGACCCATACTGTTCATCTCTGTTGATCAAATCGTATTCTATTTATTCCCACCTTTAAAAAGTAAAAAATAAACAGCTTAGCTCCAAGCAGTATAACTGAATACGTATATTAAGATCACTGTCTGCATGGGAAACCCCCAGGTCTGTAATGCTGTAAGTTCCCACTCGTGTGATAACTCAGGGCTGCTAATTACCATTGCATCGGTGACGTGAGCAGCAGCAGCAATGCTCAAAGAGAAGCACTGCTGATCAGGATATCTTTCTATTACGGAATTAAACTCGTAAATTCTCAAACGAATGCCATTTCTCAAGGTTTATAACTTGGCAGGAAGTGTATCCATCATTGCTAGACAGCTTTTTTTAAACTTTTCAATATATATATTTTTGTTAGAAACTGTGCTGTTTTTTAAGATACGGGGGTGTTAAACACCGTCACCAGGAAAAGCTGCTTCTTTGCACATTTTCAAAGTTAGCATTCTAGACCAACTGTGGTAAATGTTATGCTTACCAAAATCTCTTCTTATTCCACGTAAGTGTGTTATAAAGAATGTGTATACCAAAATACGTATTTACATGGATGAACAATATGCCTTAAAGACTCAGTGTGCATTTACTTCCGAGACTGGACCAGATTTGTGCCCAATCTGGAGGTAAATAATCCATACTTCATAACCTGCCATGGGAGATTTCATTTCTTCAAAAAATAATAAAAGAAAAAGAAAAAAAAAGGAAAATTCAGTTTCTTTTCGAAGAATCTTAACGAATTTCAAAATTCTGGCATGATCTGACATGTGTGAGGAAGTTTAGGAAAGGGGTAAAGCTTTATCTCTGGCTCCAGCAGTGAGCAGCCTGTTTGCAGTGTCGTGCCAGCAGCAGGCACTGCCATAGAGACCTCGTTCCTGTGCCCAGGCCAGAGGCAGCCCTGTCCCTGTCCTCACCCCTGATCCTGTCTCCAGCCCAGTCATGGCCAAGCCATCAAGTCAGCACTGCCTGTCCTCTTTCTTGCCCCCGCTGGGGGACCAGCACACCCATAGCCCCCATGTGTGCCACAGCACAGAAAATTCTTTAACACCATAATCTGTTTAAAAAAAAAAAATATCATAAGTGAGAAACATAAATTCTTCGTTCAGCCTTAACAGAGAGTAGATGAATAGTTGGAAGGAGGAATTTACTCTGCCTGTTGATGCACTGGACACACTTAGGTAGGGTTGGTTCCAATTTCTGGCTGCGCCTGGTGTTCCTCACTGAGCACGGAACGAAGGCAGGGAGCTCACTGCAGTCAGGGACACCCATAGCACATCTGGGCACTGCAGTCAGGGACACCCATCGCACATCTGGGCACTGCAGTCAGGGACACCCATCGCACATCTGGGCACAGCTGCAGGAGGGGCTCGGGACAGCAGGAGCGGATTCTCAGGGACTGCTGCTCTGAAATTGTCCCTCAGCAAAGGCAGGGAGACCTCACTGAGCCAACACACATTTGGTCCTACAGCTTTCCGCCTAATTCTTGAAGAGCTCAGAGGTTCTGTATATTAGAAAATCCTTACGTTAAGAATTGTACACATGGCCATGTTTTCACATCCCATAACCTTAGTTCTCCAGCCCTCTATCTTTTAAAGAACACGGAGCTTTCCTGTCAGCTGGTGGGGTTGAGTCTGTACTGTAGGACAAGCTGCAGGGTTGATCTGCCAGGCTCTGGGTGCTGGCCTGCCTCCTACTGAGGTCACAGGGCCATCGGGCTGCCATGCCATCAAGTCATCAGGCCATGGAGCCATTGGGTAATCAGACCTCATGGCATCGGACCTCCATCCATCGGGCCTCCACCCATCAGGCCATTGAAGGTCGTTGGGCAATGAGCCCTCATGGCGCTGGGTCAGCAGCTCACCATCAGGCTGTAAGGTGATGAGCAGCTGCCAAGGGATGTGCCGACTGCTGGCCCTGCGCCGGTGTCCTGGTGGCCATGGGCTGCCCAGTGATCCCGCAGGGCTCCAAGCCATGCCACCCCCTGTCTCTGAGGCAGGAGAGGTGCAGCAGGGACCTTCCCTGGGGGCACTCAGCAATCCAGTGGGAGCACCTCTGAACCAGACTGCAAGCAGTAATGCAAAGTAACACAGCTGAAAGTCATTTTAATTGAGGTCCAGGTAAACCTGAGCCCCATTAGAAGAACAAATTGCATGTGTGCAGCAAGCCAGAGCCAGGTGAGGAGGGGAGGTGAGCAGGAGCCAGTGCCGTGCTGCAGACACAGGAATTTCCCTCCTATCTTCCAAATATGAAAGTATTCATTATTCCTCGAAATCTTTTTTTTATGTTGCCAGAAACAAAATGCCTGTAATGATGATATATATATTTGGTATCTAGAGGGTGAAATTTCTTCTCTCCTAACACACATCCATCCTTCTCTTATTATTTTTCAGCCAAAACCAA